TAAATATGTACAAATATTGACACTAATAAACCTATTACAGACAATGTCAATTGCTGCATCACTGCTTTAGGTAACCTTCTGTCTCTGAACAATGGATGGACATTGATTCCAGAATTTATCATGCAGGTCTACCTGGCAGCGATACTATCCAGCAAATACCACATCATCATTGACTGGAAGTTTCCCATTCACATCAAAAGCTGAGTTTATCAGAGCCTGTGATTCTTTGCAGCTGAAGACATTCACCAAGGTGATGTGTTTATGTCTGGATTTAACAAGTCCCTCAACAGAGGTGCTCCTCACTGTCACACTGTGGATCAAACAATGTCAGTGATTCTGGAAGAGCTACTTACTTGGTCTCTCTCTCACTGCTTCAATAGCTGTCACCTGCCTGCATGAGCTGGGGAAGAGTGGGATCTTTGATGTACATTACAGATATGAAATAACAATGTGCCCTAATATCTACATATGGTTTCTACTTGAAAGTTAAAAAAGTCATTTGTTACTGTGATACTGAAGTATACTCCTCTTTGATGCAAGACGTTTGTTATCTAGTGGTTTCAACCACTGGAACCACACATCTCTTTACACTGCTCAGCACAAAAGTCACTTACAAATGTTTCTGAGTGTTTTGTTAAAGCACAACATAGTAAGGCTTTGATCAGGTAATATGCTTAAGCAGCAAGTTTAAGCACACAAGTAATCCCAGTGAAGTCCTAAGGATCCATTCACATGCTTAAATCCATGCTCTCTTTGGCAGGTCAAAACTTAAAATAATCAGGCTACAGCTTGTAACTCAAACCCTTGTCTGTACAGACAAGTAAGGCAACACAAAAATATAATTTAAAAAATATAATAGAAGGCTGGAAAAAAATATTCTTGCTAGCAGTTAATTGGGAAACAGAACCTTTAAAGAAATAAAAAGAAGACAAGTTTAAAAGTCAGCAGAGGAAAAAAAGAAACTGATGCAGACTCCAGTTTTACATTGCCACTCCTGATAAAGACATTGTGTGTCAGTCCGAGGAAGGAGAAATAAGAAGGAAGAAAGTGGTGTTACTTCCTTCTCACATCTTTGCAAGAACATGATAAAAAGAGTCCGACACATCTTGTGTATCAGCATCTGGCTAACAGATTTAGATATCTGTCTACATGACTGGCAAATTTCTCAAGCCTTTTCAAGTCTCAGTAATTAGAGAAGAGACTCATGCATTTGCTGCACTGAACGGCCTGCAGCCCTTTGGTACATACTGGCCAATGAAACATGGTAAGAAATGATGGAATGTCCATGTACAAAGTTTACAAAAACCTCCCCTTCAAAGTAAATATCCCAGCAGCAAGTGTTTATCTTTTATGGAGAAGATGAATACAACAGATGTTAAACAGAATAGGCTTCTGATATGAAAAACAAATCAAAGCAAATCAGCTACATTTAAATTTGGGAATTGCTGGTATCTCCGTATAAAGGACGAGATTCATAGTCTTGCCATAGCACTTAAAGAGGGAAATAGTCCCCCTAGTGTACTCTCCATGTAGAAAAGACCGTTTCACAAGATAGTGCTGCAAGAAATTACTAAACAACATTGTGGGAAGAGGTATGGAATTACTTAAACTGTAGTGAAACCAGGCACCTCTACTACATACACATAAAAAAATGAAAAGTTTTTATAGTTTCCTATTTCGAGATTATTGAGGGAAGTGAGTGCTTCACCCTAAATACTTGTGAGGTAAAACTTGGTTTTTAAGTCAGCACACTAGTTTTGTGACTGCAGGACTTTGATTGGGTAACAGATACCTGAATGAGGAAAGATCTAGTCATGGAGGAGCTCTGTAAAAGTACCTGGAACAGTCGCATTTCACAAGGGTGAAACCAGCTCACCCTGGCATCTCTTCCTCCCTCCAGTGATGATGAACATAAATACCAGCCTTCCCTAAGTTTTCAAGACAGAAGCAGACATTGGAACATGCATGGAAACCCTCTCCAGTAGCTTGGAAGTGTACAGCATTGTACCAACCGGGGCTGTCCGTGGCACACAGGAGTGTCCAGAGTGCGGCAGCTCTGCAGCACCGCACCGTACACTAATGCCCTCGTTAGCTTCAGGCACTGTTAGGTTAGCCAACATCCCACCAGGCCCAGGGGGAAGCAGAGGAGATTGTTGGGGGGGTGTATTGGGCAAACCTTATCTGAATTACCAGAAACGTAATATACATCTTCCTAACCACATCTGAAATATTCACTTCTGCTTTAATGCCCTAGGCAGGGAAAAAAAAAAAAAAAAAAAAAAAAGTGATAGTTGTAACTTTAATTTATAGCTCTTAAAATAATTATTTGAGGAGAATAATCCCGGCTACGTTTACGGATTATGGTTTTCGGCACATCTCACTGGAAACAGTATTAATATTTTATAGATAATAGTACATAAGGTAATAAGACCAAGTTCTCTTCTTCCCTTTGTTTAAAATAACAATTTTCCCACTCAGTGGCAGAGCAGAATATTGTTAAATGGGCTTGCTGCCTTCAACGATGAATTTAGCTGTGTAAAAATATTCTAAATTAAGATAAAAGCCTTCTAACACAGAACTATCTTCTGTTCATTTAAAGTCTTGGTGTAACTAGCAATCTGAAGAAGCCTAATGTGAAAAGCTGACATTAGTTCCTGAAGAGTTGTATTCATTACCTGTGAAGCAAACAAAGATGGTAATAACACATAATGTGTTTTAACATCAGGAGACTAAGATGGAGTCCCCATATAAGAGTGCTGCCTCTGCACAAACTAAGCTACTCTGTAGCCAAGAAATTGAAGTAGTCCACTTCTGAATGTATATGCACTTGAAAAAGAAATCCTAGCCTTGCTAAGGAATTACATTTTCCAGTTTAAGATGCCTGGCACATTATTAGTTCCTGACCTCCCCTCTGCCCCTTCCAGTATGCCCCTACCACCCACACACAACTGCACCCACTGTTAACGCGACCGTATGCCTTACCCTAACTTCAGAGACAGTTCACAATCATTAGGGGCAGAATTTGCTGCTACCAGTGTGCCTTTACTTCCTGAGAAAGGTCATCCTAAAGGTTTGTGAGTAACTTCTGAACTAAATTATAACAGAAGAATCTCAAGGGATCCAAGTTTTTAACATTTTAATTAGCTCCAAGTACCAGTTAATGCTGCTCAGCAGAAGAATCAATATCAAATTAACAGTATAAATTGTCAGAAAAATTGTGATGGTATTAAGGATACTAATCAATGTAAGCACTTCATGTTATGGCCCAGATTCTGCTTCTGCTACAGTGAAAAACAGTTTTGCCACTAAAACAGTGTCAGGCCCATTGTTAGGTCAGTCTTTGTCTGAATTAGACATTGAGAATTTACTGAAAATTCAAACTACCCAATAAAAATGCTGGATATGTCATAGCAGCTGACATCTAAAGCCACTGCTACTATATGAAACCAAACAACTTATGAAGGCACAGGCTGTCATTGGAAGATGTAACCCTTTATCACACTCTGCGTCACACTTGAAAAGTCAGATCAAAATTCAACACCTAATACAGACACAAAAGCTGTAAAAAAGATGTGTGCTTTTAAAAGCCTTGCCTTCAACTAGCTATGCCAGCGATAAACTTTGCGTTTGTATTTTCTCCAGACTGAGACAAGTCTGTCAACTACTGCGCTTCATTTGGAAGGTAAAAATCATACAGCCGCACTTCAATTCCTAGCAGCAAGTCCTACTCAGGCACCAAAATACAGGACAGGGCTGCTAGTACAGAAACTGCCAGAAATGTTTAATCTATACAGTATTTCTGACCAATTTGTATACTGAAAGTTATCACCTGATCCAAACCTAGACAGACGCAAAGAGAAAATTTAATTTCTCTGTAAAAGCATTGAACTTTCCGGCAAAATCACCTTCAGCCATCCATTCAAAAACTCTGTGTCAGATGCCACTTGTATCGGCCCTCAGCAGCAACTGAACCTTGCCGGGGTTTCCTTCTGCAGACAGTATCAGCATCAAGCAGCACCTGCATTTCTGTACAGCTGCAAGTACGTGACATTTCGGCATCCAACAGACGCTGACAGATGAACAGGAAAACGAGAAGAAAAAAAACAGTTCTGGAAATCACTTCAAATGTGCTTCACGTGCAGTTCTGGCTCCTGGTAGGCCTAATAAGACTCTTTCTTGAAGGTAAAACCCTGCCTGCCTGCAACGTGCTTTTGCACGCGCTGAGTAAACAAGCCACAAAACCAGATTTTTTTTTTTTTTACCCTCACTTATTAAAACGGTAGTACTCTTAGCTGCTCACTGTCGCAGTGCTGGACAGAAAATGCTGGGCTATCAGTAGACGGTGCTCTCATACACTGGCACCACAGGAATCGCAAACCAAGCACTCCCGTGGCTGAACAGCCAATAACTCCATGCTTTAACTTTATAAAGAAATGTCAAAACCCGAATTTCCTTCTACTGTCTTTGAGGAACATATGGGCAAAAAACTGGGGGTTTTCTTGACAAAAATAATAAAGTCATTAGGTGTTTAAGCTTTGAGACTCAGACTGACCATGCATAAAAGCAATTCTGTCCATTTCCATCATGAGTAACCTCTGGTGTTACCAAAACTTTAAAAAAAAAAAAAGGCAAAATAAAACCCGCACGCCTTATAAATATTTTTCATTTTTCTTTCTCTCCCTCCCTCTCTCTTTCCCTGCTTATGTGCTTGTGCATCACGAAAGCCAGCTCCGCTCCAGCGTGTACTCTGCCCTCAGAGTCAATAGCCCTCACCGCTTCTACACAGCAACAGGAAAGAGACAAAACTTTACTTAATACCTCCCTTAAAAAAAGCAAAGCCGACAGGGCGACCACCATCAGCGGGGCCAGCATCAGCGCCCGGCGGGCTGCTGTCGGGACCAGCCGCCAGCACCCCGCTCCGCGGCCGCATCCTCCACGGGCAGTAACCGCCCGTCGGGGCGGCGCGGCAGGAGCGCCGCGGCCCCGGGATCCCGCCTCACCTTCCACCCGGCCGAGCTGTTGCTGTCGCCCTTGTCCTTGAAGTAGGGCACGCAGCGGACCATCCAGTCGTAGATCTGGGAGAGAGTGAGGCGCTTCTCCGGGGAGCTCTCGATGGCGCGGGTGATGAGGTCGGCGTAGGAGAGGTTGCCCCACGCGTTGCGCCGCGACGAGCATTTCCTCGGCGCCGCCGCCGGGCCCCCGCTCAGCCCCCCGCCGCCTGCCGCCGCCGCCGCCGCTCCCCCCGGCGAGAGGCTCGGCCCCTCCGGGCCGCCGCCGGGCAGCGGGGCCAGCAGCCGCGCCGCCTCCTCCGGCACGGCGGTGTTCGCCGCCGCCGCTTCTCCGCCCGCGGGGGCCGCGCTGCCGACGGTCATGGCCGAGCCGCCCCCCTCCTCCTCGTCGTCCTCCTCCTCGGGGATCATGGAGGCGGCGTCGGCGGTCGACTCGCCGGCGGGCTTGGCTGGGCTGGCCTGCAACTCGGGCCTCTGCAGGGGCCAGGTGCAGGAGCGGGGGCGGCTCTGCGGCTCGAACTCGGGGTCCAGCTCCACGTCCAGGGGCGAGAGCGGGGCGGGGGGCGACGCCTCTGCCATCTTGGCCTCCCCCCCGGGCGGCTGCGGGGCGCTGCGACGGGGCGGGCGAGCGGCCGCCGACCCCGCTCCTCCTCCGCCGCCTCCTCGGTGCCGACGGGAGCCTAGCAGGCGGGAGACCGCCGGGCGGGCATGCCGCGCTCCGCTAAGGGCTGGCCGGCTCTCCGCTGCGCCCCGAGCCCCGCTCCCCGCGGGCGATGCGCACGCCGGAGCTCGGAGGCGGGGGGAGAAGGGGAGGGAAAAAAAAAAAAAAAAAAAATCAGATTAGGAGCCGGAGCGGCCGCGCAGGGCGGCAGCACGGGCCGGGCGGTGCCGGAGGTGCCCGCGGCGCTGCCCTCCGCGCCGGCGGAGCGGTGGCCGCTCCCGCGGTGCGTGTGTGCGTTTGTTTATGTTTCACTCCATGCGGATGCAAAAGTAGCTCCAGCGGGAACCGCGCTGTATCCAGTCGGGAGAACACCCCCCCACGCCCCCGGCGCCTCCGAGCTCGCTCCTCGCCGCTACCGCAGATACCTTGCCTTTTGTGGGGGGGTGGTCCTTTGCGCCCTCCGTCGGCAGGAGGGCAGGGAGAGGGGTCCTTTGGGTTACGCCGAAGACTTTTTCTTTCTTCAAAACGCCCTAAAGGGAGCCGAAGTCTTAGCATACATCCAACTGTACACTAGCGCAAACCTGTCACTTTGCGGTGCCCCCAAGCCACACGCAAGCAACACCCCAAAATCTCACAGCCGACGGAGCAGGGGGCAGGATAAGGCCACCCTGGGGGCTGGTCCGTTTAAAAAAAAAATAGTAATAAATCCTCCTTCTTGCAGGGAAAAAGGAAACAAAACGGGAACAAATCAAATCGCCAGTCTTCCAACAGGTCCAGTAGCTTTAAGCCCTCCCTAGGGCTGCCAAAGAGAATGGGTTTTGTTCCAGCATCAACACCACATTCATAACCTCCTTGCTCCTGCTGCTGCCATCTTGACAGTTTTTTCCCCCTTCACTTAAGTCATTTAAAAAGCGCAGGCAGACGAGGCAGGGAAAGCCACATCGGGAGGGGCGGGAGGCGGCGGGGGGGTGCTGGATCGACAGCCACCTCCACAACCGGCAGCAATCGAGATCCGAATTCACGGGAGGAAGAAGCAGCGCTGCTGCATGGTTCCTGCTGCTCCTGCGCCTTCAGCTCCAGAGAGCCTTCCCTTTAAAGGCGAAGGATGGGAAAACGGCAGAGCGCCCGCTCCCCCTGCGAGCAGCCAGCGAGAGGCAAGCGATCCGCCCGCGCCCAGCCCGTCCGCCGCCGCAGCCCGCCCGAGCAGCCTGTCACCCTGCTCGCCGCCGACTTCCACATCCCTCCTCCTAACAACCACCGGCAGCAACACAAAGTTATAGACACACGCAGGGGGACTCAACCAAACCGCACGGCTAGGCACGGCCCGCCCACGGGCGGGCGGAGGGCGGGCGGTGCCGCGCAGGAGCCGCCCCGATGGGGCGGGAGCGCAGGGGCGGGGGGAGCCGCCAGAGCTGGGCGGGCTGGAGAAGCTGCCCGCACCTGGGCAGGGCCGCGCTTCTCTGCTCGCCGTCCCTGCGGCTACGGAGCCCTGGCCGGCCGGGCCGGTGGAAAGCGCTCAAGCTTCTCCAAGTACCCGCTAAATCTTTCCACGGGTGTTTCTTTAATGTACTTGTTTCCACTGGTCATAAATTATTGGTGCACGAGATAGTCTGGTAAACTTTAAAATACAGAGTCTAATTTAGTAATTCTTCGAAAACGTTCACTCTGCCTGTGGATGATGCCAGGAACATGTTCAGACATGTCCACACGTGAATACAATCCCGCTGTACCTCCTCCTTGGCGGTCATGCCCTAGCAGAAAGCCCTCCAAAGTAGCTCATTTGAAGACAGTTAATTATGGGTTGAATTAAAGGGGTGACCCACAAAACCAAGGAACATAAAAGCTATTAATATGGATGTAGTTACAAATGCTTCATGTGGCATCTTCTATGTATCAGTTCTCACCTGACACTGACCTAGACTGTGGACTAGATTTAGTCCACCAATAGCATTGTTGCTGAGACAAGATATAGACAATAGCATGGACTCAGAAGCAGGTGTTCTTCTGAAGCTTTGCTAGATAGAATTAGCAGACAAATTAAACTATTCCTGATGTATTGCATTATAGACAAGTAGAGAGATTTGAAAACCATTCAGTTTGATTAGAAAAGAGCAAGGCCCTGATCCTGCATGCCTTACACGTCCTGCTAAGTAAGGCCTAAGACCCTTAGGGTCCAGTTAGGTTTTGAATCCAAGTGGTACTGAAGTTAGGAATAGTTTAGTGTGTTTTTATTACAAGGGACAGCATTTCAGCATGCATACAATTAGTCCCTGGTTATCTAAATATAGCAGGAGACACTGAATTAATCAGAATGAATGCAGGTTCGAGTAATGGAAATAATTCTCACTGCAACTCCATTTTGGGTCACAACGTTGAGTGCCTTGCCATGGCTTTTGTTGTAACATGGCCCCTGCAGGAATGCGAGGCAGCTCAAAAGGACACCAGCTACTCTGCAGTTGTGACACTGGCATTCGTGTGTATGATTTAGCAGTTGGTAGGGAGGAAAACCGCAGTGGCACTGAAGAGCCAGGAACCAAGTTCAGACAAAAAGGCGTGGTGAGAAGATGCTTATTCCAACACCACATCTCCAAGGAGCCTTTCCTTGTGGCTTTCAGCAGTTAGCCAGAGAAGGCCGGCTGCGAAACTGTGACTGGTGCTCAACCCTTTCCCAAAACTAGCTACTGCTTGGGGCTGATTTTGACCACTGCAGAAACCTCCACATGGAGTGCATCCTGAGGTTCCAGGGAGGCATAGCACTTTGACCTTGGGCTGGGTTACAAGCAGCAAAATGATATTATCATCTTCTATTATTCATTTAATTGGCATTGCATTACTCTACAGGCACTGCTATTAGGTCTCGTACTGGATGAAGGTGCTGCACGTGGTTAAGAAATGCTCCACTCCCTGGCAGAATTGCAGTCTAAGTGAGGCAGGAGAGGGCGGGAGAAAGGAAATAAGTAAGTAGTAACCCTATTAAAAAGATGATGGACTGAGGCACTGAACAATTACATGACTGTACTGAGGTCATACAGGAAGCCCATGCCAGAACTGAGAAATAAAACTGGATCACCTGAGTGCCAGCCTTCAGCAAAATTATCTGTCCTCTTCAGAATTCTCTGGTATATCAGTCGCACGACCTTTATCACACGTCATGGTGCCAGATCTTCCCAGCTCCATGCACCGTGTGTGCCCATGATAATGCAGTTTAAGGGCGTAATTAAAACCACAGTATAATTGTTCCTACACATTTTGCTTGTGAAAAGTGCATAAGCAAAACAGAAAGACACAGGAGCTCTGCTTATTGTCATTTCATGGCTGGGCCCACTGAAATACACATAAAAACTGATCAAAATTGAATCTAAAGCTTGCACAATTTTCAGTCTCTTCCTTTAAGTACTTTCATGCCCCAAGGGTGGGATTTTCCAAAAGGCTCCATTTATGGGAGTTTTATCACTGACTTCAACAGGAATAAAGTTAGGCCAGCCCTCAGGCCATTTGAAAGCCAGCTCACTTACTTTGCCTACTTAGACTGCAAGTGTTTTAGGGCAGGGCTGTGTCTTCCTCTGCATCTCCTTTTATCTACTACGGCTGCTCAAGCTGATGTGGGGAATGTGTGTGCCTATCACAGTATCTGGATTATATGGATCTGGCAGGCCCACAGTCACATGGCAGCTAGAGAAGTGCAGGTGACATTTCTGGCTTCACCTCTCACACAAATATCTTAACTGCAGAAGCAGGGTTGGAGCTAAAGTCTCATGGGGGGTGGGAGACCTGGAATTTCTTATCAGTTCAGCATTATGGACATCTCCTGTAAAGTGTACTGCCGCTCAATAAATGAATGTTATATTGCACTTAAGTTAAACAATGGCTGCGCTGTCTACATGGACCTCACACAAACAAGCATATCATGGGTAGTTTTGTAAGGCACCTGCAGCCTGGTCTCTGAGCAGTTTGTGTCCCCTGCAATAACCCTGTGTTCCCCTCCCATTCACCCTGTGAGAGAGTGGCTCCCTTAGTGTGTTTTTGTTCTTCCCACAGTTCCCTACTGTGTCCTTTAAACACAGACTGGGCAACAGGCAATAGCCTTTGTGGCTGATTCGGAGCCACCTGGACGCTGATGATTAGAAAGGTCATTTATAAACCAGCCAAAATCAAACCCCAAGAATCAAACTTTAACTTTCTGGCCCAGTTTGGCTAAAACTGGCGAATGGGTTTCACAGTTGTTATGGAAAGACTGGCAGACACAGAGCAAGGGTCCAAACTGTGCCATGGAAACTTGATGGGTTTGCCAAAGACAGCCACAGATTCTTAACTATGAAATTTTCCCTGAAGTGATGAACAGAAACTTAAAGATCACTTCAAGTTAGACTCTTTCAGCATTATTTATGAGCCTGCAATACTGGTATTTCCCTGAAATCCCTCTTTTAATGTCCCATTGAAGGAGCATCTCAGCTTCTATTTTAAATCAATAGCCAAGTTCTTGATGCAGCATAGATGTGACCCAAATATACTCTGAGGGCCAGGAAGAAAGGTAAGAGGTGGGGAAAAGCAAAAACTAATTGCGTATTTTAAACCCTTTTAAAAAACTTGCTCTTTAGGCTGACGTTGCTCAAAATCTTGCTTCGTAATTTTTAAATTCTTGGTGGTACATGTAGTTCTTGCGTTTATACTATTAGGGTGCAGTCAAATTGCTCAGACACAGCAAGAAACTCCACGTTTTTTATTATTATTCATATTGGATTATATGAAAGAATTTTGACTTGTGAAGATAGACAGCTCTCCCCCTTAGCTTAGGCTGGTCCGAGTGACCAAACACCGTTCTGCCCCGCCACTGACTCGTTGTGCAACGCGGCCGTGTCCACTTAAGCCCGTCTCGGTTACCCCACGTCGGGTTAATTATACCCACTTATCGTTTAATTGCTCCATCATTATAACTTAACACCTTCCTGCGCCCACACAGCGCGGGGAGGGGGAGAGGCGGCGCTGGCCCCGCCCCGCGCCGGCCCCGCCCCCGCGCCGGCCCCGCCCCCACCAAGCTAGGCTGCGCCGTGCGAACTGAATGATGTCATGCTCCGGGGCCGCGCGTGACCGCCGGGGCCCGCCCTCGCCTCCTATTGGCCGGCGCCCGTCGCCCGTCAGGCCAGCGACACCTCCCATTGGCCGGCGCCTCCGCCCCACCGCCGCCCCTCGGAAAATAATAAACAATCGAGTAAAATGCGGCGCGGCGGCCGCGCCCCCTCCCCTGGAGCTGCCCCTCGCCCGCAGCCCTGCCGCCGGAAAAGCCTTTCCTGAAGGCGCCGTGGCGCTCGCACGAAAATTGCCTTCAGCCAGAAGCTACTGCTGCGCTGAAGACCAAGTAAAGCCATCTCTCGGCTTTCCCCGATCCTCTTGTCTCAAAGCTAAGTTGTGCCAGGCTGCAGGTGCCCTCCAGATACGAGCTTCGAGGCAGTGGAGATCTGTGTACGGTGGGAGGGGAAGGGACGGGCTGGGTACGTGTCTGGCAGCCAGGTGTGCCGATCCAGTGTGCCAAATGCCTAGAGGCAGGGCAGCGACAGGGAGACCTGGAAGCCACACCTCTGAAACCGTGTCGGTTGTCTTCGCGGGACGAAAATCGTCCCCGAGGTGACTGTCCTGTCCGCATGATGTTGTGCAGGGAGATTCATCCTCAGTCCTTACTTCGTTGTGGTGGTGCTTACACAGCACAGCCCTAAAATAGCTCTCACAACCCTGCTTCCCTCTACCTGCAAACAGAAGGCACGCTTGTACAGCAGGGGATTTAACCGGGGACCAGGTGACGGGAATGAGGGCTGCAGGAAAGGATTTACCTTTTCTCAGGCTCGCAGCCTCTCTTTTTGACAGCAGGTGCCCAATATGGCCTATTTCACTTCCTCCAAAATTATTTTCTCCTGTACGTGGCCCCTGGAGGAAGAAGTCCAAGCACCTCCCTCATCCTGTCATCCTGTATTTCCAGTGATCAGAGCACTTGTTCAGGAGCTGAAGATGTGGCTCCTAGTCCTTTTCCCAGAACTTTGTGTTTTCTTCTCTGACAGATGTTTGATGTGAAGTACATAGAGCACACTTTCAAAAGTGGACTGAAATCCAAGGCTGCTCCCCTCCCTTCCCCATGGCAATGTTATTACTGCTAGGTCATGGCCTCTCCTTGATTGCTCCCGTGAATCCCGAAGCTCCACCCTGTTCCCCCAAGCAGCAGTACGGGTTCAACAGGCTGCTTGGAAATGGAGCGCTTGTTAGGCTAGCCTGCCTCTCTGGTACGATACTCTTCGGCAAGGTCAGAGCGAGGCATCTGAACCCCGGCAGGCAGAAGAAG